TTCCCTCTAATCTCCTCTTTCCACTTTCCCGCCAGTGTCTCGGGCTATTGAGGTTTGGCTCACCTCCCGTTCCAGCGCTGGTGTGTTGATTCTGCCGCTGGTGTCCTGAGCCGTGGGCTCCCACGCTCTCCACGCAGGTCCACCGTGAATCACTAGTTCTAGAAGTTTCCTCTGCTGTTTCTTCCCCTATTCTTCCTTGAACTTGCAGTATCTCCACTTTTATTAAACTGTCTCTTCCTGGACTATCAGTGTGCTCCCTTCCTATTTTGCCATCTTGCTGCTGATTTTTTTTTCATCCAGTCATCATTTTATAGACATCTGGGTTGACTCCATATCTTAGCTATGGTGAGTTGAGCTGCTATAAACATGGGGTTACAGATAACTCATATGCTGATTTCATTTCCTTTAGGTATACTCCCTGGAGTGTGATGTTTGGGCCATATAATAGATCTATTTTTAGATTTCTGAACAATCTCTGTACTATCCTCTATAATAATTGTACAAGTTTGCATTCCCACAAACAACGAATTAGGCTACCATTTTCCCCACATGCTCACCAGCTGAGCATGCATGAGCATGCTGAGCATCTTTTGATATGTCTGTTGGTCATTTGTATTTCATCATTTATTTTGTATTTTTTTTTATTTTAGAGGCAGAATTACAGACAGAGAGAGGGAGAGACAGAGAGAGGTCTTCCATCCACTGGTTCACTCCCCAAATGGCTACAATGATGGAGCTGGGCTGATTGGAAGCCAGGACCCAGGAGCTTCTTCTGGGTCACCCACATGGTGCAGGGGCCCAAGGACTTTGGCCATCCTTTACTGCTTTCCCAAACACATTAGCAGGGAGCTGGGTTGGAAGTGGAACAGTCAGGACTCAAACCACCTCCCCTATGGGCTGCCAGTGCTGCAGACACAGGCTTAACCAGCCCCTGTATTTCATCACTTGAAAAATGCCTGTTTGTATTCTTAGCCCATTTCTTAACTGCATTGTTTGTTTTGTTGCTGTTGAGTTTCTTGAACTCCTTATATATTCTGGATATTAATTCTTTATCAGATGTATAATTTGCAAATATTTTCTCCCATTCTGTTGGTTGCCTCTTCATTTTGTTGAGAGTTTCCTTTGCTGTGTAGAAGCTTCTTGGCTTTATGTAATCCTATTTGTCTATTTTTGCCTATATTGCCTGTTCTTCTGGGATCTTATTCAATAAGTCGTTGCCTATACCACTGTCTTGCAGTGTTTCCCCTATGTTTTCCTCTAGTTAATGATGGTTTCAGGTCTTAGATTTAGCTCCCTGATTCATTGTGAGTTGATTTTTGTTAAGTGTGTAAAGCAGGCATTTTATTTCATACTTATCCATAAAGTGATCCAATTTTCCCAAAACCATTTGTTGAAGAGACTATCATTTATCCAGGGAATGATTTTAGCTTGTTTGTCAAACATTAGTTCATTATAGCTGTATGAATTAATTTCTTGGATCTTTAGTCTGTTCCATTAGTCAACGTATATATTTTTAATGGTGTTGGATATAACGTCTACTTTTTCATCTCTAATTTTATTTGAGTTTTTTTATCTTTTTTCTTTGCTGTTCTGGCAAAGCATTTGTCTAGTTTGTTTATCTCCTCAAAAAACTAGCTTTTTGTTTTGTTTTATATTTTTTATATTTTAAATTTCATTTATTTCTGCTCTGATCCTTATTACTTCTTGCCTCTTGCTAATTTGGGGCTTGGTTTGTTCTTGTTTTTTTCTAAGTCTTTTAGATGCATCATTAGCTCATTTATTTGTGATATTTCTCTTTTTAAATGTAAGCACTTAATGCTACAAACTTCCCTTTTGCTGTATCCCACAAGTTTTGATATGATGTGTTTACATTTTCATTTATTTCAAGGAAGATTTGGATTTCCTTTTTAATTTCTTCGATGACCCACTGGTCATTCATTGCATGTTGTTTAATTTCCATGCATTTGTGAATGTTCTATTGTTATTGTTGTTGATTTCTAGCTTTATTTCTATGTAATCTGAGAAGACACGTGGTATTATTTCAATCTTTTGAAACTTACCAAGACTTGATTTCAAGCATAATATATGGTCTATCCTAGAAAATGTTCCCTGTGTTGATGATAAGAATGTGTATTTTGTAGCTGTTGGGTGAAACATCCTGTAAATGTCTCTTAGATCTATTGGCTCAATAGTAGGGTTCAACTAAAATGTATCTTTGTTGAGTGTCTGTCTGGATGATTTGTCCATTGATGAGAGTGGGGTGTTTGAAGTCCCCTACTATGATTGTATGGGAGTCCATCTCTCTCTTTAGGTTTAATAGTATTTGCTGTATATATCTGGGTGATGTTGCATTGGGTGCATATATACCTATGACTGTTATATCTTCTTGCTGAATCCATACTTTTATCAAAATATAATGGCCTTCTTTGTCTCTTTTTACAATTTGTGATTTGAAGTCTGTTTTATCTTATATCGGAATAGCTACTACTGCTTGCTTTTGCTTTCCATTTTCCTGGTATATCTTTCTTCTGTCCTTCACTTTCAGTCTGTGTAGATCTTTTTTGGTTGAATCTGCTTGTGTTACTTCAAGCTTCCTGTTTGAGGATGTCCATGTCTCATTCAAGACCTGGGAAATTTTCAATTACTATTTCATTTAGCAGGTTATCAATGCCTTTTTCCTTCTCTTCTCATTCAGGGATAACTATATTACAATTATTTGGTCATTTAATGGTATCCAATATTTCATGTTGACTTTATTCATTTTTTATAATTATTTTCTCTTTATGTCTGTCTGTGTTATCTTGAAAGTCTTGTTCTCCAAGTCAGAAGGGCTTTCCTCCACTTGGTCTATTGCGCTATTAAAGCTCTCAATTGTATTTTTTATTTCACTGATTGAGATTTCATCTCTAAAATTTCTATTTGTTTCTCTTTAGTGAATTTTTCATTTATGTCACTCATTGATTTCCTCAGATCTTTATCTATCTGTGTTCTCTTGCATTGCACTGAGTTTCCTTGCAGTCATTACTTTGGATTTAATTTCCGACATTTCATAGATAGTCTTCAGATCAGGATCTAATTCTAAAGAACTACTGTGTTCTTTTTGAAGTGTTGCGCTACTTTGATTTTTCATGTTTTCTGTGTCCATATATTCACATCTTGCACATCTGGTAGAATAGTCCCTTCTTTTTGGAGTAGGTTTTATGGGGAAAGAGTTTATGGTTAGATGTAATGCAGAGTATCATTTTGACTTGTTGCTTTGTCTTTGGTTCTAGGTGAGCCCAGAGTGTAACCACTATTTGATTTAGTTTGCTTTTATCAATGTCAACTGTGTTTATAAGTGACACAATAGTCTGTTGTAGTTAGTAAGGGTTAGAAGTGTGATTTTGAGATGATTGTGTAACTTTCTAGGGTGTGTATCTTCAGTCCCTGGAGTGTTTGATGTCAATTATATGGGGGATTATGATAGAAAGTACCTTGCTCTTAGTACTCAGAGAGACACAGGAGGCTGTCCTCTTGACCCACTGGTAAGCCTGAGTGAAGCTGGGGTTTGTGTCACCAATAGCTGCAGCTCTAGGACTGTATGATGTGGCTGGGCCCTTCCTCAGGTTCCACTAGACAAATGCAACTGATGTTGGGATACCTATATTACAATTATTTGGTCATTTAATGGTATCCAATATTTCATGTTGAGTTTATTCATTTTTTATAATTATTTTCTCTTTATGTCTGTCTGGGTTATCTTGAAAGTCTTGTTCTCCAAGTCAAAAGTGCTTTCCTCCACTTGGTCTATTGCATTATTAAAGCTCTCAATTGTATTTTTTTATTTCACCGATTGAAATAAAAAATATAACTCCAACAGCCCTAATCCCAAGACTGGGGTACATGACCTGAACCCTGCTCCAGTCCTACATGGTAATCACAAGGTATACAGAAGATTTTGCACGAGGAAGTTGGCTTTGGAGAGGTGGAAACAGGCAAGTTCTCTAGGTCCACTTTGTAGATTCCAATGGATTTGAAGAAATTAGTTCTGATTTTTAAAAGTCCTTGTGTTGCAGGGTACACTGGGGTCATTATCCAGATCTCTTAGGGTGCAAGCCAAGTGTTGTGGATGTTAGGTTTGGAATAGTTTGGGGTTCTGGCCTTTCATACCCCAGAAAAGAGAGAGACAGAAAGAGACAGAGACCGACCTCCACAGAGACAGTTTGCTTTATTGAAGCAAAGAGGGGCAGCAGTCTGATCTTGTGAATAGACTGCACACAGGGCACATGCACGTGCAGGACTGGGTTTTTATCCGACTGAAGAAGGAATCTGCTGCCACAGGTGGGAAGTAGGGAGTACAGGGCTTTTAGAAGCCTCTGGGAGCTTTCTTCTTAACTGTTTCACAAGCTGCCCTGTGTGGCTTGTCTGTTTCGCCACTTGCTTTATAAGGAGTCTGGGGAGGTTGAGTTTGGTTCCTGCACTAGAGGTCTCAACAAAAGGCAGGAAATGAGACTTTATTGCCTTTTAGTGGATACTGGTAGCCACCTGTCTGAAGCAGAGAGATACAGATACCGCACTCCAGATACTATGGTTGAGTGCAAATGACTCCAATGATTATAATCTGAATATCAAGACCTCCAATTCTGTAAGGCATCGATGAATCTACTCTCAGTTCTCACAGGCATGCAAGGGTTTGTGCCTGGGGTTTCCAGCACCGTGATATAGGAGGTGCAGAAGGAACTTTCCTCAGGCTGGGTCCACATTTTTTATGGACTGCTGCTGGTGCTAGCTCCAAGAAGCCAAGGGGAAACCCCTGGGTCATAGAAAGTAAGTGAACGCAGCTCTGGGGATGACGCCCCAAACTCCCACAGTTTCAGGATGCACAGTGTCTGTTCTCAATCCACAAGTTGCCCTGACAATGACTCTGGTGCTTCTGGTAGCAGCAGAACAGAGATCAGCTGTGCAACTCTGCACAACCAAATCCAGTGCTCTGGAGGGACATGGGAGAGGAGGGAGGCAACATGGCTTCCCTTGTCACAGCCAAGCAGCCACTCAGACTCCAGTCAGCTCCCCAGGCTGGCGTTGAAGTCAACGAAGTACTATGGAATTCTCCCTCAGATGCAGCAGTGGCAGGGTACATGGCAACTTCTTCATACTTTGTCTTGGGAAGATGGCAACTCCCAGCAGAAATCCACTGAAGTGTGTCTGCCCTTGCTCCTCACTGCCCCCAGAATTTCTGTTCTGCCACATCTCCCCTGAAAATGCCCATCAACCAGTTCCCTGGAAACATGGTCCTTCCTTGTAACCTTCTTGTAACCCTCTGAAGCTGAAGTTAATGTGACTTCTGCCTGTTCAGCCATCTCGGATGCTTTAAAATATAAAACATCAAGATGTTTTAAAATATTTTACAGTTTGTAAAGTGTTTCTATGCCAAATTGTTCAATGAATTCTCAGTTATTCCAGAAATTGTCAAATGTTTTTCCACATTAACAACTAAGGGGACTGAGACTCCAAGGAACTCAAATACTTGCATAATTTCAGAGAGAGATGAGAAGCAGATCTGAGTGCGCGGAAAGAGCACTTTACCCAAGATGAAGACCATTTTTCATGTAACCATACTGTCTGTGCCCCTCATCGAGCTTCCAGATCTTACATAAACTTGCAGGTCTATTTCTAATAATTTTTCTAAACAGTGGTTCTTAAACTCTAAAGTGCGCAACAATTCCTGATGAGCCTTATAAAAATTGCATATTCTTGATGTCCATATCCACTTTTCAAATATTCGGCATGTCTTGGTTTTTTGGCCAAAGGATTTATGTGTTAACAAGCACTAGTTAATTCTGAAGCAGTAAGGGAAATGCAAATCAAAACCACAATGAGGTTTCACTTCACCCCAGTTAGAATGAATCTCATACAAAATTTAACAAACAATAAATGCTGGTGAGGATGTGGAGAAAATGGTACCCTAATCTACTGATACAGCCATTGTGGAAGATAACATGGAGATACCTTCAGGAAGCTGAAAATAGATCTACCATATGATCCAGTCATCCCACTTCTGGGAATTTACCCAAGGAAAATGGGATCAGCATATGAAAGAGTTATCTGTGCCCCCATGTTTATTGCACCTCAATTCACAATAACTAAGATATGGAATCAACCAAGATGCCCATCAACCGATGACTGGATAAAGAAATTATGGTATATATGCACTTTGGAATACTACTCAGTCATAAAAAAGAATGAAATCCTGTCTTTTGCAACAAAATGGATGCAACTCTAAACCATTATACTTAGTGAAATAAGCCAGTCCCAAAAAAGACAAATACCATGTTTTCCCTGATCTGTGGTAACTAATAGAGTACCAAAAATATAATGTATAGGAGTAAAACTGTCATTTTGAGATTGTTTACAGCCCTTGTCTACTGTTGTGGAACAATGTTTTTTTTCTTCTTACTATTTGTTGAACTCTTTACTTTGTGTAGAGTTAATCATATTAGAATAAAGTAAACTGAAAGTACATCATTGTAAAAATTAAGAGCGGGAATAAGAGCAGAAGGAGGAGTAAGGATGGGTGCATGGGTGGGAGGGAGGGTAGAGTGAGAAGTATCACTATGTTTCTAAATCTATACATATATGAAATACATGAAATTTGTATACCTTAAATAAAATAACCACAATAGTGATAATTCAGCTAATCAAAAAAAAATTCTGATGCTAATGGCCCGTGGTTTGAAAATGCTAGCATGGACAGTATTATCAGTGAACCCCTTGATCTGCTGTCAGTATTATTATTCCTCTCTGTTCAACCCCTTCACTGAAGAAAACATATCATTCCATCAGAACAACCAGGACAGAGCACATATTCAATGTTTTTTTATTTGGTGCTTTTTTTTTCCATGGGGAAGGGGAGAGAGAGAGAGACAGAGAGAGAGACAGAGAGAGAGAGATCCTCCATTCACTGTTTCATTCCCCAAATGCCTGCAGCAGCCAGTGCTGGGCTAGGCAGAACTCAGAAGACATGGGGTGTCAGCATTGCAGACAGGGGGAGAGGCTTAATTCACTGCACTACAGCACCAGCCCGCTAGTTCTGCTTTTGATATGATGACACTTCATCTGTGTAGATAGCACTTTTTTCAAAAGCAAGATAAACAAGATAACTTCTAATGTTCATTCTAGGTTCCACAAATAATCATTTAAATGTAAAATAATGGAGGAGAGGTTGATGTTTTATATGAGAGTAGTCAGGGAACATCTCTCTGCTGGAGTAACATTTAAGCAGAGGCCTGGAGCATGTGATGGAGCAAATCATGGACAACATACCTAGGAAGGGAACATCCCTGACAGGACTAAAACTGTGTGAACTCAGGATAAGCCTCTAAAAGTTTAGTCTTCCTACTTAATAACAAATACATATTCTCATCATGTACCTTCTGATAACATAGGCTATACTTGCCTATACATTTGGATTTAAACTGACTCTCTACTTGGGTTGACAAAGATGTGCAGGAGCTGGAACTCTCATGCACTGCTGATTAAAATGCAAAATAGTACAATCACCTTGGAATATGTTTTGGCTTACTTTTAAAAAAGTTAAACATATATCTATTCTATGATCCAGTCATTCTGCTCTTTAGTATTTATCTAAGTGAAAGCATATGTCCATAGAAAATGGTGCAATATCCAAAAACTGGAGACAATTCAGGTGTTCAAAAAGAAATGGATGAAGAAACTATGGTAGATCTACACAACATACCATTCATCAATAAAAAGAAATGGGGTTTTGATACACACAATACCTGAAAAAAATCTCAAAATAATCATACAAAGTGAAGGAAGCACATACTGCTAAATTTCATTTAAACAAAATTGTAGAAAATATAAACAACCTATAGACACAGGAAATAAATCAGTATCTCTGGAGGTGGGAGGTGATAAGAAGAGGCAAAAGGGAGAAATTAGCAAAAGAGATTTTGAGGGTAATGAAATATGTTCACTATCTTGTTTTGATACTTTTATGCATATATAAAGGTCAAAATTTGTCATACTGTACATTTAAACATGGAAAATGGTTTGCATATTATTACACCTAAATAAAGCTGCTATTTTTAAATCTATAAATTAAAGCAAATATTATTTCATGACGATTGTAAAACATTATTTCCAAGTTCAAAAGTACATAGCTTCAATCAAAAGACAGAGGAGATGAAGTAGGTGCACCAATAATAGGAAATGAATGCCATAACCCTAAACTTCCTGTTTCTAGCGATGCTATCTCAGGGAAAGGGATAAGTAACCTTGCACTCATAGATTCTGCAGTTTTCACTTTCTTCATCTTTGCCTCTTTCACTGTGTACACTAAACCAAGACAAGAGTTTTCAGAAAATTCACTGGTGTGACTTTACTTTTAGTTATATGAATATTCTGTTTGAAGTATCTGAACATTCCTTTGGCAGAGGATAAATTTATATCTAGTCTTCATAAAATAAAGACAAATAGCATTTACATACTATAGAATCAGTGTTTTGACACAAAATTACTTTTAAAAATATGAACAATTCTCTTTGATAATTGCATTTTTAGAATAAGACATAATTTTTCCTAAAACAAATTTCCCAAGACTTTCCTTTGAAACAGGAATAGCAAATAGGAACAGGTCACTGTGACCATACTCAAGCATTGGTGATTATTGTGTGATTGGCAATGCAGGTATAGTATTAGGAAACAATTCTCAGACAATGTATTCACATTTTTTATAGTCTGAAGAGTTAGCTGTTCTCTTATCACTGAAAACTACTATTGACATGACAGAAGAAATAATTAAGAAGAATGGTTCTTTGGTCAACCAATAGAAAAACAAATCATTTTATGAAAACAAAATATATGGAAAATGCTCATATTACACCATAAGAGACTTGGAGCGTGGAAATTAACTGATCAAGATGGTGCCAAACTTTAGGGGATATATTTATACATACATCATATAGGAACACCATGAGTAAAATTGGAAAATTCTTAAACTCTGGAAAAATATACATAGTTATATGAATGCTCTGTTTGAAATATTTAGGCAATAACACAATCAGAAAGTAGAGTGCTTCAATTATGTTTTGTGTTGTTTTACATACATATTGTGTTGTTTTAGTTATTGTGTGATGGCTTGTATCACATACAGCTCTAGAAATTGCATGGATTTCAATTCTAAATAAACTGATCACAAATATAGGACCACTACAAATATATTTGTCATCACTTAACATGATTTAAATTAACATAGATTTATGGCATTTGAGAATGATATCAGATTTTAAAAGAGAAAATCTAAAAAAATAAAATAAAATAACTCTGCCTCTCAAAAAAAAGAGAAAATCTAAACTAAGAACCTTTAAAAAATAGCATAGTTCAATTGACCTTTGCAAATAAACTGAATTTTACAAACATCTTTATAACCCAACAACATGCAAACTCTACAGGATACCCACTTATTTTTGGTGATGTTTGATGTAAATTCATATATGGATATTCATATTCAGACTAAAAAATTTAATAATTCATGATAACTCAGTCATGGATTGAGATGAATGTCATATGTTATCTTACTTTTGTTCAAAGAGCATTTTTTTTTTCTAAATAGACTCAGGGAAAAATCGCAAGCGAAAAACCTATTTGAAAGCAACCTTCCATGTTTGAAACTATCAATTACAATGTGATTTTAAAAACAACGACTAGATTTAAAATCAAATGTAAATTCCTTCTTATAAGTCAGTGAAGTTGTTTCCAAATATGCTCTACATGACATTGTTTTAGATACATGAAAGCAAAATATAGAGCATTACAATGGAGGGAGCACTGGACTGAGAATTAGCAACTTTAATTTTAGTCTTGGCATTGCCAGGAAAACTTCAGGATCTTGAACAAGGTAACTTACCTCAGTGTTTCCTCTTTTCCTTCATCTAAAATGGGGGCTATGTAAATTTTTATTTTTAAAGCTTCTTCTAGCACTAACTTTCTATGAAATAAGATATTTATTGATCAAAATACATCCAATTTTCACTTTGCAGTAATTCAAAAAAATAATTTCCTATAATTGTTCTGA